ACGGTATTTCAAAAATTTGATATTATTCGGTACACAATAATAATTAAGATAAATAAAAACGATACTCCAATAAAGAAAGCAGAAAATATTTTATTTCCATATGGTAACCTGAAAATTTGAAAAACGTGTGCCAGAACTAATAAAATAAAAATAATATAAAAAGCATAAATAAACTCTGTGGTTAAAACTAATTGAAAAAATATAAACGGAAAACAACAATCAAAAAATTTTATATAAAATAACGTTCATAGCTTTTTATTTTATAACGTAGAAAAAATAATTAATAAAACATTTTTGTTTGTCCAATTTGATTCGGCAAACTAAATCCAGCGTCGCCGCCGCGCAAAATTGACTAAATTAAATTGCAAAACAAAGGCTTAAATGCAACGCTGTTTACATTCGCCGGACAATGGATTCGTTCTGCGGCATTAGGCCGAAGCCGAATTTTTCAGCGGAAAACCGTCTCCTTTTTTATTATTGCCGTGCCGGTTACCGACTAATACCTATTGAACGGCGCATCTACAAACATTGGCAAAGCCAAAGGCCGGCAATGCAATGAATTTTTCAATTTTACAATGCCGTTTGCCTTGTATACGCGATGGGTATGAACGGATAAATATTACTTGCAAATTTCCTTTTTTATTTTTTCATTTATATTTCGGTGCTGCAATCAAAAACGGATTGTTAGGAAGCATTGTTATGGCAAACACTTTTCAGGTTATTTTGTGTAAATTATGATGCTTTGATACTCTTATTTCAAAATGTGTATGTTTTACTTTTTTTTATTTACTTTGTTCCTTTAATTTCAATGTAAGAATTCAGAACGTTAAAATTAGTGGTAGACATTTTTAGTTAGTAGAAAAAGTTATCAAACTTTTGACTTTTCCAGTAATTATACTTAAAAATTTGCGAGAGATGTTATTTTTGGCCTTTCATTTTATCTTCCGTCAAGAGAAATTGGGTTAGAAATCAAAAGTTGATCGTTTTATAAGCTAAATATTAGGCTTTCTCTATAGATACAAAGTAAGCTGTTGCTAGGATATTCTATTAATTTTAATTGTCAAATCAAATAAATAAGGAAACCCTTTAGCACAAAATATTTCAACAGAAAACTAAATATATAATTTAGTTAACATTAGTTAAATAATGAGGAAACGTTTACTTTACCTTTAATAACATTCTTTGTCACAATAACCTAAATTTACCAACCGAAATAACATCAACGCGTCTCGAACGGTAGTCTAAAATCTATTACATAACATTATTTACAATATCCGTTCGTCGTCTGATTTCCCTCTCCCTAGTTTATGAATAATATTTTAAAAATCGATAATTATTTTATGTATGTATACAGGGTGTCTTAAAACTAAATCTTTTCGACTTTTTTTGGAAGAAATATGTTTATTTTTAAATAAGCGGGTTTCTCTCGACTTCAGATTTCTGAGATATGGCAAATTATAGGATATAATTTGTGTCAAATTATGTCAAACAAAAATGATAACTACTTTGCATTTTGGACTGTGATACTACATGTTTTTTGTGTTTTTTTTTAAGTTAAGCGGAGGAAAAACCGAGGGAAAATTAAGAGTAGACCCAGAGCACAGTTTATAGTTAATATTTATTGCCCAAAGACACAGTTTACTAGAGCACCAGCTTGCCGGTTTGCTAATGGACAGTTTGCTATTAGAATTTATTTATATCATTATTAAGGCACATCCATCATTAAAAATAACAGCATTTTTATTTGCTTTAATTATGAAACATACATATGTCTAGCTCTCAAAAATTCTATAAACTCCAAAATCTAATATTCTACAGGTTGTTCGGAACGATGTGATTAATGGACGGCTTGCATGCCGGGAAATTATCAAACTTTTACGAAGGTAATATTTTCGGCAAACTTAATTACTGCAGCGGAATCCAAGTTTTCCTATATTTTTCCTGGCGAATAGTGGAGGAAAACTGACTATTAAGGTCAATTTCGCGTGAATAACTGCTTCGTTTGGATCTACTGAAATACGAATTAGTCTTTCAATACTCCTTATGTACTTCTTAAGTATTGATAGTTTTATTATTGCTAGTTATTAATGAAATATTCGTTACTTCATTCATATAAATAATACTCTTTCTATTCTAAAAATTGGGCTAGCTCATCACCGAAACTAGAATCTAAGAATTTGAAAAATAGACTATTCAGGGTTGTTCACCACATACGACACGGAGTATTGTAGCTAAACGATGAGATTTTTACAAATTGTAAGTTTTGGGTTCGTTGAAGGACTATTAGAGCTACAATTTAAAAATATTTTTACAAGATACAGAGTGTCCCAAATAAATAAAAAATATCAAAGTTGTATTTTTTTAAATGGAACACCCTGTATATTATTACATTTTTAGTTTCCACGATTAAAATAAAGGTAAATTTGATTAAGGTTTATTATACTTAAACCTTACCGTTTTTGAAATATTTTCAATTTTGTGAAATTGCAGTAAAAATTTTAAAGCTTCATTTCTCCAAGGGTATCAATGTTTTTAATACTAAATATTTAATGAAGTTTATTTACAGAGTGTCTAAAAATTTATTTTAAATAATTATTAGCTTCAAACGGCAATAACTTCTTTAATTTAAATGGAATGCCCTATATATTTTAGGAGAATCAGATGCACAATTAAATTGTCTATCAAATTGTATTATACCATTTTTTACCTATCCCTTCAAGTTTTCGTAGAAAATGCAATTTCTTATAATTTAGACCTCATTTATCAATATATCCATGGAATATTGACATTTTAGATTGTTTTTAAAGCAACAAATGTACAAAATGTACAGACTAGTAATATTATCGTTTTTAGCAAAACGATAATATTACTAGCCCATTTGTATGCAAAAAGAAAACTATTTAAATCTTTATAAAAGAGTATACCATTAATTAAATATAACACCATTATTTGCGCCCATATACTAATTAATTACATACTTAATTGTGTTCGTTATTAAATTATTATAAATAAATGTGGATTTGAGTCAGAAATCAATATAATAATAAGTTATCAAATTAAAGTCTCTGTTGTTATAAATAAGCATTTATTAAAAAATGAAATATCATTTTTAAGGTGTTACTTTTTATCACACTGTCTAATGCCCATACAAAATTCAGTTTTTTAGTATTTGGAGCAATTATTATTAATCAACGCAAACAGTCAGTTAATGTAGTTTGAATACTGGAATCATATTAATTGATCCTCTTTAACAAATATTTAAACAGTTTTTTTTTTATTTTTTAATGAAATAAACGAATTATATCGACAATATTAGTATCTGTACTCTTTAAAAATTTGGTACATCTTTAAAAAAACATATTACTGATTACAATCTTTACACGAAATTTTTTATACATAAACGGTAAATTTGTAGATATTAGTTTACTTTTAATCACTTGCTGATGATGCTAACATTGTTAGTGAAACACCAAAGTAATATGTTTTAGTCTATTGTGGTGAATTAGTGTTTTATTTGGCTGTTATAACACCAAAGCTTCCAACCGTCAACTGTATATTCTAAAGAGAGAATTTGAACTTAAGCGAACCTAACAAAGACCCCCAAAGCTAGGTCGCGGCAGTATTTAATAATTGCTCTAAGTGAAAGCTAGAGTTTTATATGTTACGACCTTTGAATAAGAAGACTAAGGAAGGAGCATATCAAAAATCTTAGGTACACCGCGATGGGCCTCAAATATGGCCGACTTAAATTCCGGTTTATCAGTGTCGTTCTAATTTTATTTAAAAAATATAAAACTATGATGTAGGGTAGACCTATAATTTGTTGGTTTATTTTACGTTGTGAATAAATGTTGGTAGTTATTAAAATTGTTATAAAAATATATAATTCTAATAAAAATAGATAAGTTATAATAAGTATTTATTAACACAAACATCCGATACGCTACTAAAGCAGGTAAGTCAAATTAACGTATCTAAATTCTTTGACATCTAATCTTTGACAAGTAATAAATAAAAGCTAAAATGCAAGAAAAATATATAATTTAGTTAATTTAAGTGAATTTCATAAATGATCGGTTTACTACACCTATGTATATTATATAGTCACTTACTAGCGAAAAGTTGTTCCATTATTTCACTCAATTTTTTGCCGAGATCTACCGCACGCTACACAACCAACTATTTTAGAGTCTTTTTCGATAAATCGCGATAGTGTCACTGTTAATTTAAGTTCTGCCACAATTTCCATCTAGATTTACTACCTTTATACAACTATCAGTAGTAGAATAAATAATAAATAACATAAAATAAGCTTCGTAAAGACTGACAAATCCACAAAATTTCAAATCAAATTCAAATGTGTCAAATAAATCGTCAAACAGAACTGTCAAGGATCCCCACCCTAGAGAGCTTTTATGGTGGCTTTTCCGCCCACCATGCATGAATATATGGATAGCATTATGCTCCTTCCTTAGTCTTCTTATTCAAAGGTTACGACAAAGATGTGAAACCGGCATTAAACAGTATTGACCGATGTCAATATAGTATATGTTCACTTAAGTTAGACATTGTTGCTGTCAATGTTTATACCTTTTGAAGCTTTCTTATCAGAACAATGATTTCGGTCAGAAAAATTAGTTGTTTCTCCATTACTCCACGGTTCATTCAAGATAAGGTTGGGTCCTTGTGGTCTCACGACGGCGGTTTAAGATTAAAAAAAGAAAAATAAATAAATTGTTTATAAATCTAGTGAAACTCTAGTGTTCTTTTTATCATAGAAGACACTTTAAGTTTTCTCTTTGAGTGCCCTGTCAGAAGCGACAACTAAAATGCTGAACACGAAAGGACCCTTCGCCGCCTAAATAAGTAATAAGCGCGCCGAGGACGTAACAAGAATCGCCAAATCTTCTGCCCAATAAACCCGTTAAAAACACTCCCCAGGCGATAACATCATCGTCGACAGCCGCCACTAAATTATTCATCCAGACATGATTACTTACTTTCCTTATACTGCAGGACATTCTCGTGTTTCTCGTGGATCACGACGCAACGATAGCAGGCCCGCTTCCTGAAACAAACAGAACAAAAGGGAAGAGTGAGAGAATTGAAGGCGTTGAATGCGAGTGAATATTTAATTTATGTAGATAAAAGGAGATGGTTTACAGTGTGTTAAATAAATGTTTTTTTTTTTCACAGTTAGGTATAAAGTTTCGATTGCTGTAATGCCGTTATCAGATATATGATATGGAACACCCGGTATTTTATTTCATATTTGGATCCGTCGATGCAAAATACGGCATTTATTACAAGGGTCAAATATGGGTTTACAATCTTTGGTTTTTGAGATATTTAAAGAGATTTTATATATAATATGCATATTATAATAAAAAAAGATTGTCAACACCCTATAACGCCACCTTGGGCGAAAAAGTTTATAATGGGAACTCAGGTTCACCAGGTTCCGTTACAAATAGGTTCCAGCTAGCTCAGTAAATAATTAAGTAAAATATATGCACAGAACAAGGGATATCAAAAGGGAGGTGTATGGAAAAAGTGTACTGATTGAAAAGTCTAAAATGTACTGGATTCGTTTAATAAATACTAAATTTAAAGTTAAAACAAATTGTCAAGATCTATCATAAAATGTAGCAAATATTTAAATACGAAATAATGAAATATATATATAGGTACTAGTAAAAATTAACTATCCGTAAAATAAATTAAATCATGAATTGTATCACAAAATATTGTTGTGACTAAACTGTGAACAACCCTGATGCGTATTTTGTGATTATGATTAAATGTCTATAAAGAATAAAATGAAATTTAGATGTAAAAATCCCCTGGTATACCAAGTTCACATACGATCGTATATTTAATGTAATAAATTTTAATCAATCATAAACGCAATAAAATAAGAGATGATTAAAGTCTTATCTGTCATCCAGTGGTCGTTCCAGTCAGTCCATGAGAAAATCCAGATTGCCGGTCTTCAGTGTCACAGTGGCATTCCTCGTCACAGTGGCATTCACGTCACAATGGCATTAGTTGCAGTACCAAATCCAGTACAAAAAAAAATTGATAAAAATCTTAAGCTAAACCGTAATCATCACTAAGAAGTAATAGCCAAGAAACAAGAACCCTAAAATATGATCTACTTTAGTGACACGTTCTAGTTTGGACATAGTAAAATACCTTTCCACCATGCGGACCTTCCAAGACAAGATGGCGTCTCAACGCATGTTACTCCATGGAAAAGGGTTCCTTAACTGTCCTCGTACTCATCCCAGTACGTCCACGCACCCATCTACAGCTCCTGTCCTCTAAAATAAATAGTTGTAGAAGAGAACCTTACACCTAAGAATGTCTCTTACCCAACCAACAAAGATATCCCTTTTCAAGGTTTTCCCCGGAACTCCAACTACACAGGCCAAGCCAATTTCTTGCCAATCGGTCTTCTCGACCCTCAATGAATTCCAAGACCGTAATTCTACTGAACAATCCCAATATGGAACGGCGACCAGCCAAAATTTCACTAGAATTTCTTTCTTTTATTTTCGACAGAGATCAGAAGGCTTCCCCTGCTTTCACCAAGATGGTTCAAAGTCGAAAAAGGAAGCGTGTTTGCAAAATTTGATAAAGACGCTGGACTCCAAGATACCAACCCAAAAGCCAACACTGGCAACCAGTAAAACAAAAGACCCAAAATAAAATTTGACATACAATTTTATTTAATGCATACGGATTGAGTGAAACACTTTATTACATCATAATAAAATTATAATAATCCCTATACGAACATGATATCTTCGGAAAATTATCAATACACTTTCCGATCATACTTAAAAGATCGAAAACCCAATTTACAAAGATCCATCTGTCAACCTTCAACGCCGGTGTCACACGATCAGCTAACAAACAATTGAAACGTCAGTCTGTAAATCGTAATATAAACAAGATGAAATTTAGGGAAAAATCAACTATAATCAGGTAAAATCAATTGATTACACACAGGAAAAATACATAATAAAATCCTTAACCCATATGTATATTGTAGACCCAACATTCCCACTTGTTGCGTTGAAACAGACAAAAGATAATCATATCAAGTCTATGTTCAAGAATCCTCCGAAGAAATATGCCAAGAAAATATCCTAACACAAGCATAAGTCTAAATAAAGAATTAGTAACCACTGTAGAAAGAAAGGCAGGTTTTAAACAGACAAATTGATATTTTATTAATGAGGTTTTATATTACAGTTATCGGAGACAACTCCATCCCAAGAAATTGTTGTAGTGAAGAGACTTAATAGATAAGATATTATTAGAAGTTATATGTACAGTTAAGAAGTAAGCTAATTAAACGTTATTATTCAAGTTATTCAAGTAAGTTTTAGTTTTATTCCTAAAAATAAGCAAAATAAGTAAAATAAGTTACGGTGAAATTTTAAACCGTAACACCCCTGTACATTACTTTTCAGAATTAATTCTTGTGCTTACTTTTAAGACAAAGAAATAAACTTTACTGAAAAATTTGATTGCTTCATTTAATGTATACAGGAGTATCAAAAATTGCCAATCTAGTTTAAGTATTTCTTTTACATAAAAACTTTGATATTTCCAATACAACACTCTGTATTTTTTAAAATAAGTCGAAGCAGATTCAAATGCCCTTTCAAACTACGTATATTAGGGTTTCCTAAACCTATTTAGCTCAGATTTTGAATAAAAAGCAATTTTTCAAACCAAACCATTCACACGGCGCGTAACGCGTATTTGTTGTTTCGGGCTCGGCGAACCACGCGCCCTCTAACGACACCTTTACTATGGCTCCAATGTCATAGCAGCGTAAAGTCCTAACGCTTTAACTACGCGGCCACCGAGGACTTGAAAGATTCTATGTAAAATTCTTACTTAAAAGATAATGTTTAGTGAAAGTACTTTTTTATTTATAAACATTTATTTATTTCTGTTTTTAGTATTTGTTCTTATAGCGGCAACATACATAGATACATTATCTCTAAAAATTTGAACTGTCTAGCTATAACGGTTCATAAGATAGACCAATGCCCTCTATAAAAGATCAGCCTACGGGCGGACTTTTGTTTACTTCATCAGCTGTACATACTTAGATATTGGGTTAGATTCTGTATTCATATTTTGTCGGTTGATTTTTGGTATTATTTGTTATTGTAGTGCAAAAAACTAATTATTTTGGTGTTTAAGTGACATAAAATACTACCAGATATATGGTTACTATGATGGTCAATCTGTTTCTCATAAAAAAACACGAAATATTACACGTTTTGTTAAGTGCTTTAACCTAAAAGTGCCCATAAATTTTTTATTTATCGTGATTTTTGTGTGTGTTTTTTAAGACTCAACAATTCATCAAAAAAGCTTAAGTGGATTGTGTTTTTGGTGCTATGCCTCATCTTTATTGTGTTCCTGGTGGAAAGGATAGTTATACTAGGCAGCTTAAAGTATCCGGAAGAGCAAGAAAAGTGGGTACGAGTTATAAATCAAGACAATTCTATTGAAAATATCTTTAATAAATTTTTAAAAAAATAATATTCTCCCAGAATGGTATAAAAGAAAACTGGACAATTATGTTTATTTTATTCATATTGTGGAATCTCCACTCCAAGTGTTGTTGGTTCAGCTTCGATAGATTCAAACACGTAAGATAAACACGTAAGTAGGTATTATGATCTAGGGAAAAATAAAGAATATGTGTATTAAAGATCATGAAAAAGATTATTATTTTGAGTTCAAAATTAAAAAAGATTTTTGTAAAGACAAGAATGATAAAGTTTAAAAGAAGAATGTGTTTTTGTTTGATAATATATAATGTATGTCAAGTTGTCAAGCATAACATATACCTATTTGTTCAGTAATTTTTACTGAATAGTGTCGATTATTTATAATACCAAATTAATATCAAATATTTAAGTGATGGCTGAATACAATATGAATAAAATAACAATAAAATTGGTATATTTGCAATACAAAATTAAGTTTTAAGAATAAAGGCGTTACTAAAATACTAAGAAATTTATATTTCTTTGTTTTAATTGGTCGAATGTTATTTACATTTTATTTAAGAATTATACCGTATCATCGAAAAAAAATCGGCGTCTAGTTGGCTTGGAAATGAACATCGATGACATTCCCTAAATAATTGTACACATAAAAAAATTAACTAGAATTTTACAATCTTGGAAAATTTGATATTCTTGAACCTTGTTCTAAATATTCTAAATTTTTTGATTTTCTTGGGATTTAGGTTCAGGGAAAAACGCTGATTAAGTTTTCATTTGGTTTTCATTATTTTATTTGGTTTAAAAAAACGTTTCAGCTAACATTATAGCCTTTATCAGTGTTGTGTCATATGAAAAAAATAGTGTCGAATATAATCCAAAAAATTACATATAAAATATTCACACCACGCACCACATAATGTTTACTGCGTACTCCATAGTCTCCATAGTCAATGTAGATAGTTTTACTGTTAAGAATAATAATTCTAAAAAATATGTGGTCATCTTTTGATAAGTTTATATTAGTTAATTAATTACAGTAAACATTATGTGGTGTGAATATTTCATATGTAATTTTTTGGATTATAATCGACACTATTTTTCATATGACTTAACACTGATGAAAAACCTCGTTAGCAAAACGTTGCAAACAAACAAAAATAAGCTTAAATGAAACTTAATCTTTTTAGGCACAAAAATCAAAGACTAGAAATAATTTTATATAAAATGCCAGCTATCTTCATTTCATAGCTATCGCTGACGCCTTTTTACTTAGATGATACTGTATTATTTGTAAAATATAATTTTTCAAACATTGATACTTACCAAAATATACATATAAATTTTGTGAATACAAATAATAATACATCACTATTAGTAGATATTGAATGTTTTTTTGTTAAATTAGATCGATTTCAAACCCCAAAATTCAAAATATACTTACATTTTACCCCAATATCTTATGTAATACAGTATTTGTATATTGTAAAACATTTGCTGCATTTGTATGGTTCATAGTTTATTTGCC